CGGGAAAGGAGCAGCCCCCTCCCCCAGTACTAAACTAGTACTAAAGTACATAGAACTCAGGTAGCCTAGGCTACCTTTCGTGATATTATATATTATATTATATTATATATTATATTATATCATATCATATCATATTATTTTATTTTATATCATATTATATTTTATTGTATTAAATCATATTATATTGTATTTTACTATATTATTTTATATTATATTATATTACATTAAATCATATTATCTATATATATATATTGTATGTGTGTATCTGTGTCTATATCTGTGGTGTAATGTATCTGTTCAAATCCAATGACTCAAATGCAGTGGATCCATGTGGATCCCATAACTTCCCCTGCGGAGCATGGCACCTGCTGAGTCACGGATTCGGTGAGTCGAAGCATCTCATCGTTGCCTGTTCCGGGCTGAAAAATGTCACTTTCTGCAATCTTCACTGGAAAATCAGAGATTTTGCAACTATGAAGTGTCGACACCATCTAGTTAATTATATCTATCTATCTATCTATCTATCTATCTATCTATCTATCTAGTTCAGAGGATACACATCCCTGAATTCCTGAATCCCGTTGGAAAAATGGAAACAGCCCTGTGCTTTTTCATCTGTGCTGCAGGCTGCGGCCTTGTCGCAGTCGCTTCTCCTGGCCCTGCACCGAGTCCCGGAGCTCTCGGTGCAACTCGGCCACCTGGCAGAACCGACTGGGAACCCATGGCCGTCAAGATCCACAAAGAAACATGTCGAAAGTTCAAAGATCCAACAAACAGTTCATATCATGTTGTGCAAAAGTGAGACACCACAAATTCTCTTCAGATTCGGAACCTGAATTCTTAGCCAATTTGTTTCCCGAGAAATTTCCCTAGAAATTCTCCGCCAAAAATTGGCCACGGTCAACCTGTCCAGCGAAGAAGCTCTGCAGTTGGTCGCCCCGTTGCTCCAGGCGCTGCTCCAGACGCTGCTCGCTGCGGCCCTGGATGTTCTGGACCTCCTGGTGGACAGCTGGGGACGGCGACGGCGGGCTACGGGGAACCGAACTCGGGGATGGGAAACCCCTGGAGCAAGGTGACCTCCGGTGGCTTTATGTGTTATGACTCTGCAAAGGTGTAGACGTACATATGTTACATATGTTACATATGTTACATATGTTACATATGTTACATATGTTACATATGCCATGCATCTCAATATATATATATATGATTACATATATATATATATATGATTACTGATTACTATGCATAACAAATGTAGACACATACACTTCTTATGCCATTCTTATACCCGGGTGATGTTGTGAACGCCATGATTCACTGATAATATGTTCGAAACTTCTGACCTGCCAAGGATGACACTCTTTGAACCCTGTCATGCCAAGATGGGTGCAGTTGGCTCCTGTGCTTGCCGATTCCAGTGGCGTTCCAGGTCCAAACGCGACTCCTCGCAACAGGACCTGACCTCTGCCAGCTTCACATCAAAACACTCCGCTTGGCTCTCCTGGCTTTGCAAGGCATCACCAAGGCACAACAAACAACTAGTTAAACATGCAAGGACTCCACAAGCAAACACAAAGGTGTTAGGCTCATCCACATAGGCGAAAGTTGACTCACACACACAGGCGTTTTTGACTCACACACACAGGCGAAAGTAGGGTCACACACACAGGCGTTTTCATTAATGAACCCACAACCACCATGAACATGGGGTGGGGTGGGGTGGGGTAATAACGTTCACTTTCGCTTGCAAACACACGCACTGAGCTGGGGTCGGGCTTTGGTTGGGTGGGGCGGGGTGGGGCAGGGTAACCTTCTCCGCTGTTATGCCCTTGGTAGTGCGTCTCGTGCTCCGTTTTTGCCCTCTGGGCTGCCCGAATCCGGCAAAACGGACCTCCCCATGTGGTGTCTCTCTAGGGTGCTTCGTCTAGGCCGCTCAGCTCCCCAAATCCTCCAAAACGGACCTCTGCATAGGGCTCTTTGTCAGCTTGGCTGTGCTCCATTCTGTGCTCCTTCTCTCTCTGCTGCTCCGTTTTTCCCCCTCATCGGCCCAAGTCTTCTACAACGGACCTTCTTTTCTCTTTACTCCGTTCTCTGACACCTTTCTCCAAATGTACAAGTGAACTATTGTCTGGGATTCTAGCGCGCCACGCACGCGAACCTAACGCCAAGATGAGGCAAGTATGCTACATAGCGACTCATGTACATACATCTGTGTGCATGAATGTAGGTACGTGTGTATGTATGCGTCGCGTCTCTGTGTTGCTGTGTGTCGGTGCTATGTATCTCCGTGTGAGATATGATATGATATGATATGATATGATATGATGCATGTGAGAACGCATGCATGCGCCACATACCACCCTTCATCAAGGTCAATTCTTTTGTGATGTATTGTTATGTAGTGTAAAGTTTCACCCACCCTTCATCACCATTCTATTTGTCCGTAACTGCTTCCCAACTTCCTTTGATGATATGATGTATGTGAGAACGCATGCATGTGCGACCTCACCGCTATGCGCGCTTCTAGATAGCCAAACGCCACATATGAAGCAAAACGCCTGCGTATGCGAACCCAAAACGCATGCGTGAGCGAACCTACAAAACGCATGCGTGAGCGAACCCGTGACCAACACAAACACAAGCCACCTCCAAAATATCTACCAACATGTCATGTGAAGTCATGTTTTTTAGATTTACTGTATGCGATTTTACTCGAATCTGGCCCCGCCTCCAACTTCTCCAGGCGCCGATCCACTTCTGTACCGTTCACGGAGCGCCCTCGGCGCCGAGCGAACAGGTCCTCGAACTTCCGTTGGGCCTTGCTGCGATGCGTGGTGCATCTTGGTGCATATTATTGGTGAAACAAGAATGGCAGATGATGAGAGATGATGTATCAGAATAATTCACAATTCATAATGCATCATACACGCTAAGCCCACAAGGGCCACTTGCAATTGAAAGACATCTATTATTGTCTTCCTTTTGGTGGAACTTGGGAGAAACTGCTTGAAAGCCGCTGGTTTTGGATGCTTTTGGAGTGTGATGAGGACTGCTCACCACATCAGCTCTCCACATGACAAATGGAGACAAGGAGCTTCTGACTTGTACAGCAAGAATTCATGCCAATGTGACCTGAGATGTAGAACAAGCAAGGACGCAGTGCCCTCTAAGACCGGATTCAAAGCGCGGTGATTGTTCATGACTTCGTGGTTCATAAGTATTCCAACTAATACTGATAATTAGTACAGAGTGCCAATGAAGATGTGCCATTTCCTACCCCATCTGGGATCCTCATTGCTGCTGTGCGGCAAGACCTTGGCTTCCACCAGATCCAAACGTCGGCCCAGTTGGCCCGCGCAAAGGCAGCCAGAAGCGCTGCAGGTGCTGGGTCTCACAGCCAGTTCCATTGGGCTGAATGGCTGCAGGAAAGCATCACTGATTGGACCATAGTCGACCCGCAAAATATCAATCAAGATATCATCAAAATATGTTGTTTGTAATAGCAAGTGCAACAGCTAGAATTATGTTCCAGGATTTTTTTGGAAGGGTTCTGGCTTCACAGGAGCAGACCCAGCGCAGCCTGTACACAAACTTCGCATTGACAGGGTCGTTGTGTTGGGTCCTGGCATCCCAAGAAGTCAACCACTCAATCAGTCAATAGATGTCAATAGTAGGTGGATGTAGGTGGTATAGGATCCCCCGCACATGAGACGCACAGGATCGGGATGACAACCCCTGGCGCCCTGTGACAGGCCTCTGCTTCCTGCTCCCTGGGATCTGGTGGAAGCGGGCGCCTCGGTGGACGTTGCTTATGGGCACATATCGGCATATATCTAAGTAAATATTTATCTTATTCATTTATAATAATTGATATACTTGTCCGGCTATATATTTCCAGGAGCCTAGCCAAAGTCAGGGTCTGGTTCGTGTCTTTGCACCGGGCAGAACTGGTTCCCGAATTATAGCACAGTATATTACAACATCATAGAATGCCCTAGAAAATTTTGTCTCAAGTGGAGCAACCTTAGGAAAGGGATGAAAACTTTGGCGTTTTAGCTGACGCAACTGAACTGGCCGATCTGCCATCGAGGAGCCCATTTGTTTCAAGAAGCTCTCGCTCTGCCTGTTTGGCACCTCGCTGTTTTGGCGGCATAACATGCAATCAGCATCAATCAACTAAATGTGTATATATACATTATCAAACACATATCAAAAACAACTGTCGATGACTGTCACTGTCGCTGAAGAAAAACTTTGCACCTCGTCGGCTGCCTTTGGGCATTCAAACCCTCGCATCCGAGACCATAGCCGGAGAGGGCAGAAACTCGTGGAAACAGACACTGCTGCTGTCATGAAGCAACTTACCTAGATGTAGATCGCAGATGGCACTTATGTTTAATTATATAACTTATATACCACTGACGTCAATGAGAATGCTGGCACGATATGCAAATTTGACAAGCTTTACAGGTGGTAGTGAAATGCGTCCGCACCAACTAAAGCACAATGTATAAGGGTGGAGTTGAGAGGTGTATGTAAAGGCAAGCCCTTTACGACCTCAGACCTTTAAACAAATCAAATGCCGCTAAGAGCCTTCCTGGGCGCTGTATTTATGCGATATTTTTTCCGTTTATATATATATATATATGTGTGTGTGTGTGCGTATGTGCGTATGTGCCTATGTGCGTATGTGCGTATGTGCGTATGTGCGTATGTGCGTATGTGCGTATGTGCGTATGTGCGTATGTCTGTCTGTCTGTCTGCCTGCCTGCCTGCCTGTCTGCCTACCTGCCTGTCTGTCTGTCTGTCTGTCTGTCTGTATGTATGTATGTATGTATTTTTTATGTAATGTTATGTAATGTTATGTAATGTTATGTAATGTATGTAATGCTATGTAATGCTATGTAATGGTATGTGATGCTATGTAATGCTATGTAATGCTATGTAATGTTATGTAATGTTATGTAATGTTTATGTATGTATGTATGGGATGTATGGGATGTATGGTATGTATAATATGTATGGGATGTATGGGATGTATATGTATGGGATGTATGGGATGTATGGGATGTATGGGATGTATGGGATGTATGGGATGTATGGGATGTATGGGATGTATGGGATGTATGGGATGTATGGGATGTATGGGATGTATGGGATGTATGGGATGTATGGGATGTATGGGATGTATGGATGTATGGATGTATGGATGTACGTACGTACGTACGTATGTACGTCTGTACGTCTGTGTATGTATGTATGTATGTATGTATGTAACTATGTAACTATGTAACTATGTAACTATGTATGTATGTATGTATGTATGTATGTGTGTATGTATGTATGTATGTATGTATGTATGTATGTATGTATGTATGTATGTATGTATGTCTGTATGTATGTATGTATGTATGTATGTATGTATGTATGTAATTTTTATGTAATGTTATGTAATGTTATGTAATGTTATGTAATGTTATGTAATGTTATGTAATGTTATGTAATGTTATGTAATGTTTTGTAATGTTATGTAATGTTATGTAATGTTATGTAATGTTATTATGTGTGTGTATGTATGTGTGTATTTGTGTATGTTATGTATGTATGTTAGTATGTTATGTATGTTATGTATGTTATGTATGTTATGTATGTTATGTATGTTATTTATGTATGTATGTATGTATGTAGGTAGGTAGGTAGGTAGGTAGGTAGGTTGGTAGGTAGGTAGGTATGTATGTATGTATGTATGTTTGCATGGATGGATGGATGGATGTATGTATGTATGTGTGTGTGTATGTATATACTACGCGCATTGGTTTCTCAAACAAACAGCACTCAAGCAAGATTTGTCAACCGTGGGACGTCCCTGTGGGCTGCATGCATGCTAAGGCCCAGCGGCTTGATGTACATGAGTGCCTTCACATGACAGTGATAGATCTAATTTGATCTAATAGATATCCTCTAAAACAGCCCTCAGCTCCACGCGCGCAGCATTCTTTCAGGACTAGCGCAAGCAGTGAAGCTTGACGTGCCATGGCAAATGCCGGAAGCAACTCACCAGTCCAAGCCATGGCAGGACTTCTGTCGCCTTCACATCCACTGCCGCATAGCTGATGCTGATCAAAGGTATGGACGACAGAAGCCAATGACTGAAACCCCTGCTACAAGATTGGCGCGAAAACCTGCCCGAGGCCAAGCACGCCACACGGCTGGAGCAATTCGATGCTAAAGAAAGCATCAAACATAATTACAAGATTCACCCAAGAAAATGATCAAACCATTTCGGGTGGCAAGGCTCCAGGATGTTCATAGCTGCGCCATACAAAGACTTTAGTTTGTCTCAACCCTGGGCAAGTTTTCTCTGAACGCCGTCGGCTGCCGGGTGATTCGTCGGTGGGCGCAAGATCATGTCGCACGCGCCCCAAAGGATTTGGATTCAGTGTAGCGAACGTGTGCACATGCTCAAGACTTTGGGCACGTTTCTCTGATGTCAGCCACAGCTAGCATAATGCCATTCTAAATTATGGCGTGCTGAAAGCACTTGAAAGATGCTCATCTTGGCATGCAAACGTTTGCCTGAAGCCCGGAAATACAAGCTCCGCCCCACACAGGACAAGGATCTCGTTCTTCCATGTTCTTCCAGTTTGCGCAGGCATTCCCAAACCAAGGAAAAAGTGGATGCACCACAAAGGGTTTTCCCAGAGTCATGATTGGGTCAGAAAGTGTTGAGAAATATATATATATATATATATGGCACCCTACCTAGCTCTTGGAACCAGACCCTGGAACGTCTTTGGTGGGTGTGGCAGCTGACCGATGCGAGAGCATTCTCTCACATGCGGCGTGCATGGGTGAATTTGGCCAAGCCTGAGAAACTTGGAGTGGAAGAGGGAACGGGAGGCGTGCAGGACAGCATGGGAGCCAGGGCGTTTGCTTGGAGGAAGTCTTTCAAAGATTAGATCAATCCAGGACACCATGCAAAGGCCTGATTTCCAGTTGGGAGAGGAAAGAAAGAAGTGGATGACAAAACTACATTACTATGAATAGAGCCCATGTCTTCAACAGCCACCCTCTCTCATCCTCTTTCCGTGTCACGTTGAATCCAGTTGCCCCATTCCCTCTTGGCTCTCACGTGCAAGCTGATATTCCATCTGGTGCATCCAGAAGGATTTTATGGGGACCCCTTTGGGCCCCAGAAGCAGCTCAAGGAAGCTGTCCAGAGACGAAGGCCTTGGAAATCTGGGAAGTTTTCTCATGACCTTTGATGAAAAGATATCAAAGGAACCCTGACCGGCCTGTTTCAAGACAGCTTCCCAGCTGGCAAATCTCTTCCTTTAGTGCGCCACAACATGTTACAAGTTGACAGCCTTGCTGACTGCTGGTGGCCAAGTGAAATGCAAATAAACATATATATATACGAGTAAAACATTATAATTTCTTACAACTTAAAAATCAAAAATGGTCAAAAATCTCAAGGTTCTCAGGTAGCTCTCGCATCATTTTGTCATAGGCCATCAGCTTCGCCACCGGGGTTTCCCTGGGGCACTCTTGTTGAAGGCTGGCGTTGGCGACGGTGCCCGGCGCATGTGCGATGTCAGGGACCGGCTCTTGGGTCGATCGCCAGGGCGATCCACCCGCGGGTAGCCCAGGCCGCGGTCGCGGTCGTCGCGCGGCCCGGGCGACGGCGGCCGCGAGTTGGGCCGCGACGGCGAGGCCGTGCGGCTGGGCCCTCCCGGCGACGCCGTGGCGGGGCGGTTGCGGCACGGCACGTCGCTCTCACCGAACAAGTTGGCCTGGAGAAATTCGGATGCGAGAGTCATGATTAACCATGATTTGACCTATTTAACCTAAGATAAACATGATTTAAGATGATAAGTATAACTGCACATCGCTGAATCATTGTCACACCACAATCACATCACATGAGAAAGCATGTCCAATATTTCCAGCCCTCAAGTCAAATGGGAAGACTTTGTCGAAGTTAAGGCTCAACAATTTGTGACTTTCTTGCGCTTGCCAACTGGTCCCAAAGGCCAGCTGACGCCAACCTGCCTTGGCACGAACAGGTCCTCCCCTGCGACAGGTAGCGGTTGACTTAGCAAAAAAAAGATCCAAAAACGATTCCGAAAAATTGCAATTTTTGATGGGCCATCCAATTCTGAATACTCTTGCTGGGTGGACTGGACTCATCTAGCTCGCAGACCCGGCCAATCAGGCCTGAAGGCTGTCATTCCACGCATGCCCTTGGCAGCAAGCGGTTTGGGGAGGGTTGTGCTCACCCAAATTCACTAATTCCATCCCCCCTAATATCAAACACCCGTCCAGAAACCATGCTTTAGTAGGGGATTTCCACATGATTGGGACCATTTAGGTGGTGTTTGATATTAGGAGAATGGGATTATATACAGTAGTTGCCAAATCCACAGTCACAGACTTGCGTCCTTGACAGTCGTTGATGGTCGTTGCATATCAGGCGTTCAGTTGTTTGGGCTCCAATTCCACAATTAAGTAAGCTAACTGGTAGCTGAAACTGAGTTTGACCTCTGAGGGGGATGCGTTGGCTGCGCTTCCACCAGTCCTGGGTGAGACAACTCCATGAACGACCTGTGGAATGCCCAGGCTCCGTGGCCACTGGGTTTCCCACGGAGCTGGCTTGGAGCTTCCAACCTGGGTGGAGTGACAAGCTTGAAACATGTTGGAACATTGTGGAACTGCATGTAAAAAATGTAAATTGCGTCAGCAACCAATTCAATATTAGTTCTCTACCCTTTATACATTTATATTTGTAGTTAAAAATATTAATTGCGAAGTCTGGGGGTTCACGGCTCCCGAAGTCCGGTCCGCCTAGTCCACGTAGCAGTGGCGCAGCCTTTTCCGAGAAAGCTGCGATGCCGTATGCCGTTGAGGCAATTGATATATCCCTCCCTTGAGAGGAAATGCCGCGGTATCACCGCAGGATCACGCGTACAACCCTAGTGCATGGAGTGCATTTCACACGGGGGTGTATTGGTGAAACAAAAGGAAAACAGGGCCGTTTCGGCCATCATCGCCAGCGAGAAGCCTGCTCAGGGCTTAGCACGGCCTGCTCAGGGCCAGATCAGCTGGCTGCAGTAGAAGGTGCGGCGCCAGAAGGAGCTGCTCCAGGAACTACAGGAAACATCGGGTAGTCCGCATTGGAGGTGTCGAAGAACTGAGCAGACACCAACCATCCAGTCATGGCGTTGTGCAACGTCACGCCGTTCTCATTCCGGATGTGGGGCGTCATCACATCCTGAGCACAGGCTTGACAAGGCCACAGCTCTCGAACAAAGGAATTGTGGAGGTGGTAGCATCCTGCATCGGTGTGCCACACCGTCCCTCTGTTCGCCACAAAGATCTCACCATTGCGGTGATATCTGTTAAAGTGGTGCTCGAGCTCGTTGTGGGCCCGGTTCATCACACGCATGCCACTGGTGCGAATCCTTTCGTACTCAGAAATTGAGTTCTCGAGAGACCTGATGTGTCGCTCAAACGTCACCAGTTGTTCGTTCTTCTGGAAGTAGCTCTGTTCCAAGGCCTGTAAGTTCAGTTGCAGTCTGGCCGTTTTGGCCCGCTCCTGCTGTAGAGCGTGCAGAAGCTCTGGTTGGGCATTGGCGAGATGACCTTGTAGATCTTGGATATGTTGGTTGAGATTGGCAATCTCTGTAAATTTTCGGCTGAGTTGCTGTGCCATCTCATCCAAGGCTTCATTCTTCGAGTTGAGTTCTTCCGTCTTCTCCTCCAGCAACCGCTCGAAGCGTTCAGCTCTGACAGCTCGCCGCCGCAAAACAAAGCGGTAGCCCTGATGCCATCCAAAGACCAATGCAGCCTTATAGGCAATGAAGACAATGGTGAGGAAGAGGATCAGGAGGAAGATGTCATAGGAGAAGTCGTAGAGGAAGTCAAGGACGTAGGAACCAGATCCAAGACCTTCGGTCTTCGGCTCATAGATCTGTAGTGGGCATTGTGCCACGGAAAAATCATCAAAACTTGAGGGAAGCACTTCTGTCGCCTTCCCGGGGACCAGACAGCAAAATGCCGTCAACCAACTCATCCACCAAGACATAGAGCGACTTGCGCTGGTGGCAAAGTCCCCGGTCGCCGTGTTGACGTTCGTCAGGTCGGCAATGACCTCAGGCTCTTGCGTGATGGAGAGCTCAGAGTGCTCATAGTAGTTGGTCTCCTCATCGGCCATGACATAGTCCACAGGGTCAGCCATGTAGACATAGGACTCCATGTAGTGAGTCGCATGGCCAGGAACTTCGTCATCTTGGTCAGGCTGATGTTCATCAGCATCTTCTTTTGGCTTGCTGAACTCGTTCTGGCTCTGCAGGCGTGTCTGGAGATCCTTCCGCTTTGAGGCTTGATAGGTGGGGTCCCAGGTGAACTTCAGGCGGTGATGCCGAAGTCGATCAGCTAAGAGCTGTCGTGTTGACTCTTTTGTGAGCCCATCGGCAAACTGCCGTTCAGAGCTATGCCACCGTAGTGAACCACCCAAGGATTGTAATCCTTCTTTGATCACCTTGACCTCCAAAGCGGTTCGACGATCAGTCAGACCAGTCCCAAAGCCATCTCTGTGGAAGCTGTCGTACAGGGCTTTGGCGTCAGTCACCAAAACAGGTGCAAGAGACGAAGGTCTCTCCAGGATCTCGGCCAGGGTCGCGTCGGGGTCTTTGAGGCACTCCCAGAAGCGACATATGAAGTCAACGCTATCCTCTGCTTGTTCAGCGGCCTGGGCTTCAGCGCCAAGTGAGGAACGCGTCACACGAGGCAACTTGGAACTCTTCCAGTCGATGACGTGGTATGGACATTCTTGTCCATCAAAGGCCTTTTGGTTGATCAGCATTGTGATCCAGCCTCCTTGTGAGGAGTAGTCTCGGCGTATGCCGAAGGCAGCATCAAACTGGCAAACCAAGCGCAGTGAGTCCACAGCGCCCACAGGCTCATAGCAAAGCTTCACATCGCTGTTGTTCTTGGCGAACTTCAGCAGCTTGTTTGCTTCTTGAAGACTTCGTACCAGTCCAGCGCTGATGTTGCTGGCAAGCAAGGAAGTAGAGCACTGCAGGTGCGGTTGGCTTTGAACTGCTGGCCATTGCAGTGAGCCAAGTAGAGCTCGTAGTTGAGATGTCTCGCTAGGAGTCATCACATCATCAGGACCGCGTCCACGTGCCACAGAGATCGGCTTGACCTTCTTCAAGAAGGGGTCATGGTGAAGAGCCCAGCCACCAGTTGGAGTCTTTTCCAAAGAAGCTCCACAGTATTCCAGCTTGGCATCTGTTTGCCATTCTCTGAAGTTGAAGGCTTGTTTGAGCTCAGCCTCTTTGGCCTGATACACCTTTGAACTCGTAGAGCCACCACCCAGCATGTCATCCACATGGATGCAGACCATAGCACAAAGTCCGTGAGGTCCAAGTAGCTCTTCAGGTGGTGCAGGTTGTTCACGACCTTCAGGAAAGTCTTGCTCGTAGAGCAGGAAGGTGCAAGGGTCAAGAGGGTGTACTCTGAAACCCAAACCAAGTAGTCGGCGTGAAGCCTCCAAAAACCATCTTCTGGGCGCATCCAGCTGACCATAGATCGGCTTGTGAAGGAACATGCGAACATCAGGCTCACAGCCCAAGATCGCCAGAGCATCAGCTGGGAGTTTGACCCAAAGGCGTCGCTGTTGTGGGACACCTTGTAAGAAGGCAGTGGACACATCAGCCGTCCATCCAGACCATTTCAAACAGCTTGACAAACTCAAGAACATTGATCTGCTGAGCCTCGACGTAGTGGGTGCTGAAGTCTCGACCCGGCCTTCCAAGGCATCTCGGTCAGCATAGCCACGGACTATCAGCCTGGCTTTGGCACGAGGGGACCCATCAGGATTGCGACTCCACTTCAGGAGCATCCTCGATGACAGTGTCCGCGTCGGGTCGGCCTCTTTCTCTGTTGAGAACTCCCACACGCCGTGCTCGAAGAAGCTCTTCAGCTCTTTTGCCTTCGCAGCCATGAACTGCTCCTTTTCCCAAAGCGACATGTTGCGCTCTGAAAGTTCGGCTGGTTTCTTGCCGATCTTCTTGGCAGTCATGTGCTTGTGCTGTCTGGCCACCTTTTTCGCAGGCATGGCAGTAGCCATCATAGCATGTTCTTTGCGAACCTTGCCAGTCAGTTGGTAGACTGTGATGCCAGTCCATGTTGTGGGCATAGGCTTTTCTCGGGTGTTGATGTTGTTAGTCATGACATTGGTGGTGCCGTTGGGCAATCTCATCATCGTCACCCGGATTGGATCCAGCATGTCAGCTGTGACAGGGCAGTCAGGACCAGGAGCAAACTCATGTAGTAGTCGTCGAGGTCGAAGGTGATGCCTGATCAGGCAGCCTGACTTCACCTCCCAGTAGTCTTCCATCTTGGAGAGGTCGAGCTGGATGTAGCCTTGCTCATCAACATGCCATCCCTGAGGAAGCTCAGCGGCATCAAGGTCGGTGACCGTGAAGGCATGGTTGAAGAGAGCTTGTTCTTCAGTAGGCTGTTGAGGTAGAGAAGGTTCAGCAGGTTGTGGTGGTTGGGAACTCCGAGGAGCTCGGTGTGGTTCTTCATAGGGCGCTGGAAGTCTGTGTCTGCGCCTCATTGGACCAAAGAGAGAGCTTTCCTGAGCGTCAAATCACCGACGCATCTGGTGGAAGGTCTCTTCAGGGGCAGGCTCGTAGAGAGCGGCCGTTTCAGGGTCCAAAGTCAGAGCCGGTCTCGACGCAGCAGCCAAAGCTGGTGTCGGTGGCACAGAAGGTTCTTGTCCAGGTTCAAGCTCATCAGATAGCTCTGGCACTGGAAGGTGTGCAGCTGCATCTTGATCCACAAGGATCGCATCATCATCACTGGGGACCACCTCAGTGGGGGCATTCTCATCCACAGGAGTGCCAGGTGAGTACCCAGGTGTGCGTGGGCCACCATCAGGGCCGCCAAGGCCAGGTAGTGCAGGAAGACCTTGAACAGGTAGAGCAGGGCCTTCAAGGCGTCGCCGTTGGCGTGGAGGTTGGAGATCATCATCATCGTCCCCTGCTCCATCGCTCATCTCATCATCATCCAAGTCGTCCAAGTTGTGCTTGTTGATGCGCTCCAAGTCCAAGAAGCGCGTCACACCACGTGAGCGAAGTCCAGCAACGGCTTTCTTGGCCTCCTTGGCGTCCTCGATCTGGTTGGCCATGGACGTCAGGTCAGCACGCACATGATGTGGTGCACATCGCAGCAGTTGTGTCTTCCAAGCCAGCCAGTAGGTGTGGGGTGCTCCTTGATCATCATCTTCTCGCATCACCACACGTGCTGGGCCGTTACATCTGATCTTGGTGAGCTTGTCCTCCCTCTGATCACGCCAAAAGTGGCAAAGCTGCCCAACTTCGATTGGGAAGTTGGTGCCTTGGTAGAGTAGTGCTCTTCTGAGCTTGGAGTCCTCTTCGGCCTGAGCCAGAGCTGTCTTGGCGGCAGTGCGGTTCTTGAGAACGTTCTCAAAGTTGTAGCCATCGAGTTGGCCAGGTGAAAGTCGTTCACCACAAAGTTCACCAGGTAGTGTCACCTGCTTGCCCAGGACCCATTGCATAGGGCTGAAGCCAGCCACCGTTGTCGAAGAGTTGATCTGGGGCAACACATAGGTCAGAGCCATTCGGACTCCAGTGGTGTTGTCCAGATTGCGGTCAGTCATGAAGATCTCGGCCGCTTTGCGCAAGACAGAGTGTCGGCGCTCAACTGCAGACAAACGCGTGTGAGCTTCACCTGGGGCAACTTCATGTTGGACACCAAAGTCAGTGGTCCATTCAGAGAACTCAGTGCCACACCATCCTCTCCCTTCGTCCGTCACCAGTTTGGTGGGGATGCCGAAGTGCTTGATCCAGCATCGCTCGAGGCCCTTGATGAGGTCGGGACCACGCTCGGACTTCAGGAGAGATGCCACTTGGTATTTGGTGGCGGTGTCGACCACAGACAAAACTGGAAACTTGTTGTCGCCAATCTTCAGCCAGAGAACGTCGGCTTGAACACATTCTCCCAACTCAGTGGCTCGTTGCCGAAGAGTCGCTGGTGATGGGTTGTTGGGCTTCTTGTAGCGCAAACAGGCCACGCACTTGTAAGAGCGAGCGGCTTCAACCACAGCATCTGAAGCACCTCGACTTTGAAGAAGTTCCACAAGGGATTCTGGGCTCGGGTGCCCCAAGTTGCGGTGTAGCCGTTGGACTGTTCGCACCGCTTCTGCTTTGAGGTTGGTCTGCAACTGGATGAGTCTACCAGTGACCTCCTTCTGCTCCGGAACTGCCATAGAGTGTTCCCATAGTTGAGGTGGATCTGGAGCGTAGATCGCTGAGGCCAGTGTTGCCGCAAGGCTGGGCTGGTAGTTCTCCATGTAGGACGTTCTACGGCCAATGCCGCTTGCAGATCCCTCCAAAGCACAGTGGTTGTGCTGCCCATCACAAAGTCGATTCATCGCCACTGACATCATGACCTTGGAGGTCAGAAGGGCTGTTGCCTTTTTCACAAGCTCCCATGAGCCAACAGGGTTGAGGCAGCAGCTGCCAAACATGCACTGGTGGAAGATCGTGAAGTAGCCCGGAAGATCTTTGAGTGCGGTGGTCTTCCAACTGCGAGCAAGTTCAGGCTGCTCTATGTGAGCGTGCCTGGCGTTGTCCACCTGCTCCATGTAGATCTGGGCCACGAACTTCAAGTGCACCTTGTGGTGTCGAGCTCGCTTGTTGTAGAGCTCCAGCTGCTGAGACTCAGTTCGAGCCGCAAGGTTCTGCATTTGGCTCCACAGCCGGCAGTCAGGGCTGATGTAAACTTCATCTGGCATCTCATCACGTTGACGTTCCAGAAAGGCACGTTGGTGCTCAGGATCATCAAAGTCCCATCCAGTGTTGGGCCCAAAACATTCCACAGTCATGCCCATGCTTTCGGCGATCTTGGCCACCCGAGCCTCACCACAGTACACTTCCCACAAGACCCGAGGTCGGTCACCAGCGTTGTGCAGCTCGGAAGTGACATAGGCATGGAGACTGTTCTCCAACTCGTTCAAGTGGACGTCACAAGTGTCCAAGAGATGGCGCTGCATGGGGCGCATGCCCTCATTTGTTGCACATTCAGTTGGGGCCATCTCAAACAGGTTCTCCATGTTGTTGAACTCCTTGAAGGACGTGGTGTTGGCTTCGGCGTCGGCTGGTGCAATCAGCTCAAACGCTGGTGGGTGAGCCAGCCAAGCCAAGTCGTAGTCATCCAAAAGTGGCAAAAGGTATTCGCCATGGGCTCCAATCACAGTGGGCTGCCAGTCCATGTCGCCAAGCTTGATGCGTCGTCGGCCGCAGTCTAGAACCAATCCAAGTTGCTCCATGATTGGCCGTCCCATCAGCATAGGCGTTTCTCCCTTGAGGAGGTACATCTGGACATAGCCAAACTGGCCAGCCAGGAACATGGGCAGCTTCACCGTCCACTGGCATTGAGAGCTTGCATCACCTCCAAAGTGGAAGGTGCGTGAGCATCGCATGAACTCCAGCTGCGTGATGTCAAAGTCCATCTCGCGCAACTTCTCCACGTAGCGCTTGAAGGGACCGTAGCCGCTCAGAAATGCTGAAGCGCCAGGGTCCAGCATAGAGCAGTCAGGTCGCTCATGGCCACGGTCATCCAAGAAGATGACAAGTCCATGCTCATCTCCAACCACTGACTCGGTTGGTGCAGATCTCTTCTTTGGGCTCCCTTTTGGAACTGGACAGTTGTAGGTTGTGTGACCCTGCTGTCCACACCTCAGGCACGTCGTAGATGCCAGGGCTGCTTGAGCACGTCCACGAGGGTCAGCTTTTCCAGGACCACGTGGTGGGTACTTCACGGTCGTGCGACCAACTTTGCCCTTGTTCTTCCCTTTTGGTTTGCCTTTCCCTTTTCCTCGACCAGGCGAAGACGAAGGGGAAGCTGCTGGCGAAATGCCAGGGGAAAGTCCAGCACCAGCTTCACTGAGGGCGACAATGGGCAAATAGCCACGTGCCAGCTTGATGTCGTTGAAGCGCTTGCGAGCATCAAGGTAGGCCGCAAAGGCACTGTCGTACTCCTCAGCTTGCTCTTGTGGGTCTTCAGGAGGAACTTCATCACCGTAGTAAGCTGCATCATCGTCAAACCCAGTGGTGTCCTCCTCATAGTACCCATGGTGCGAGGGAGACTCATAGTGGGTCGGTGAGTCATTGTACTCCGTGTAGTACTCGTCGTACTCATAGTGGGCGGAGTAGTCCTCAGCTTCATAGTCGTAGGACTCATCCCATTGACCTGGATCGGCTTCATCATCACCATAGAAGGCTGCATAGCCACGGCCTTTTCCACGGTGACCTCCTTTGGAGTGTCCGGCCACAGTCTTGAAATCTTGGCCCAGCACCAGGAAAAGCGTCTCCTGGACCTTGTTCTTCTCCAAGGTGGGCGCTTGGGTCAGCACCAGCTGGCGCTGCTCGCGCGTCAGTCCAGCGCGGCGCAACAAGTGCCATCCCTGCACTTGGGTCGGCAGCGTCACCTTGTGGTCGGCCAGCCTGTTGTAGAGCTCGTCGTGCTGGGTGCAGTAGTCCAGCAAAGTCTGGCCGTTATGCCGCTGGAAGCCACTGAAGTACTTGTCAAAGTCCCCAGGGAGTTGGACTCGGTTGTCGTACTCGAAGGCCTTGTCCAGCAGCTTGAGGAGCTTGTTGAAGGCATCGCTCTTCTCCACATCCTCCAGCGGGAACGATTCGACCAGCTTCCAAGCCGTGCCCGTCAGGCTGGAGATCAAGTTGAGGACCCCCGCAGCTTCTCTCTTCAGGAGCTTCATCTTGGTCATGTACAGGGAGATCCTCTTTCGCCACTCGCGGTAGTCGCTTGGGGCACCGCTGAACAAGGGCACATAGTTGTCCTTGGTCACCGCGGTGTCACCAGCTGAACTCACCGCTGAAGACATAGTCCAGGACGTAGTTCCCAGTCACCGGTTGCCTGCACAGGGCAAAGCACAGAAGGCCTGCACAGGACCTTAGCTCAGCAAGGGCCGCGGCAGAACGAAGCCAAGAGCACTGAAGGCTCAGCTGGCTCCAAGGCAGCACAGAGCCAAGAGCACGAAGGCTCAGCAGGCTCCTAAGCAGAGCAGAACAGAGCCAAGAGCACGAAGGCTCAGCTGGCTCCTGAGCAGAGCAAAGAAGAACAGAGCCAAGAGCACAAAGGCTCAGCTGGCTCCGCTACCAATGCGAAGTCTGGGGGATCACGGCTCCCGAAGTCCGGTCCGCCTAGTCCACGTAGCAGTGGCGCAGCCTTTTCCGAGAAAGCTGCGATGCCGTATGCCGTTGAGGCAATTGATATATCCCTCCCTTGAGAGGAAATGCCGCGGTATCACCGCAGGATCACATGTACAACCCTAGTGCATGGAGTGCACTTCACATTAATATATATATATAAGTAAATGAATATCCGTGTGTGTGTGTGTGTACTGTACTCGTAGCTCTTACTGACTCCTTACCCAGCATCTTGGCTTCACACAAAGAGGCCGAAGCCGTTGGGCATCGGTGGCGCTGATTTGCCTCAGCGTTGAGACCCCAAGCCGTGGCCGTGCCGTCGGCTTTGAGACATCGGGAACATGCGCGGCGTTTGTAAAATATGTAAAATCACTATTGTAAAATGTGTAAAGGACTTTTGGATCTTTTGAACATCGAATTGGGTTGCCTATTGGTTGACTATTGGCGAAGGGGACTTAACAACGAACCTCTGGAAATTCCATGATCCGAAGCTTCCGAAGCTTTGGCTTCAGCTTCGAATGCTTCGAATTTCTGTTCTGTGTTTGTTTGCCCCGACATCTTGCTCACTTTTCTTCTCGCCAGACGCAGGCATGGGAGCAACAGCCCCAAACTTTGCGGGGTTCCTTCTGGCCGTCGCTTTCACGGCTCAAAAGACTGGGCAGCCAATGGGTAGAAATGACATGAAATGATCCTGGAAGTATCTTGAATTTCTCTGGTCCGGTCTGCCTTTCCCAGTCAAGGCAGCATTTCTAGCCATGGCTGCATTTTTCTGGCCTGCGCTCTTCACAGACCGAGGCGGAGAATGATTTCAAGGACTTCCTGCGTGGTGCTCTCTGTGCTCTGCCCCCAAGGTGAGAATTCAGAACCTTCTAGGGCCACTGGGCCACTGGGTCTAGAAAGGCCCTAAGCCAAGCACAGAAGGCAAGGCTTGTAGCTTCGAAGCATTGATGCCCTGCCCCTGTCGATAGTTGGATGGCTGAGGAATGTGACTGAGGATGGTCTGAGTAGGTTTCCAACAAGGTCCCAGTTGTCAAGTCAAGCAGCGCATCTGTAAGTCTCTCGTGCCAAGACAACCCGGTCCCGCTATTCTCCCAGCCTGGCTCAACTTGTCTTCATGGATTTCCAGTTCGGTTGCGCCATCAGGGCTGAATATCAACAGCGTCTCCTTAGTTCTGATTCACCCAAACATAGCTGTCATGGAAGCCTGCAAGATGGAAAGCCTGGAAAGCATCCAAGTTTACAAATCCGGCAGCCCTGCTTTCCAGATCCGGGCAGAGGGGATTGCGTGGGCCTGTCATGGCGCCTCAACCCGCATAAATACATAAGTCCATGTTCGCATCACTTAGAATTCACAAGTATGTGTCATTTCATTAGAGTAGACTTGGTAAACCATTAATTATGTAAATATAATATATAACAATATATATATATCTACACTGGGTACCGCCATGGGCCCACCGTAGCCAGGCTTCCCATCGTGGCTCCCAGAATGCACAACTCACCTTTCTCGAGGCCACCGTGGAGGTGTGCAACTCCAGGCTTCGGGACTTGGCGGAGCGCACAGAACCCGGGCCCCAAATGACGGCTGGCGGGGCTGGTCACCGGGGGTCACCGAAATTCACCCCGAGGCTCCAAATGGATCCAAATAGGATGTATGGGATGTTGGAATATGTTGGAATATGTTGGATTTGGACATGTGCCTGATGAAAACATATCATTTGGAATACCAAGAAATCACATGCCAACGGATTTTTTTCGGAACCCGGGGATTTATCAAGTGAAACATCCAGGGCACGTCCCAGATCTTCACAATGCCGTCCCTGTGGAGCGTCAGGAGGAATTTCCTCGGCAGTTGGTCAAATGCAGTCATTGGGGTGATCCCAGTTGGGTTCCAATAAGCATTGAGAATGCGATGCAGGGACTGTTTTCTGCTCATGGGATCGCGGATCTAATGATTTAATGGGGATGTTGGGAGAACAAACAATCCACGGAGAAATGGAAACGTTCCCCAGCTTTGATGACAGAACATGCCCTGCCGCTGAAAATTTGGCCCAGGTAAGGCTCCCAGAAGGCATGTATCGCACGAGCATGACATTGAAATTCTGCTCTGGGTTCTGCAGCGCATTCTCCTCCAGAGGTTACTGGTGGGAGCCATCGGGCGTTTCACCCCTTTCACTCCCTTCACATCTTTCAAAAAGGTCTCTCCAGTCCTAAAGCATGGAAGAATCAAATGTTCCAAGCCCTGGGGGCTCTGGTTCCGCGCCTGAACTCCGATTATGCCATACTTGGCCTGCGACAAGATTTGCCAAAGGTGGACGCCACGTTGCCCAGACACCGCCAGCTGCTCCAACTCCAAAGACCTCGGCTTTGTGGTTTTGTGACATGAGCAGTGACGAAAAGTAAAACACAAATACAGTATACAGTACCAGTTTAGATTTTTTATGGCTGCTTAGTTGGTAGGGATCTCAGAATGATCAAAGGGATATAAGAAGTCTATACTTCTGTGTTATGGATCTTTGGAAGTCAATGCAATGATTGTGGCTGCAATGATTGTCACTGCAATCACTGCATTGGTTGTCACTGCAATGAAACTCGATTGTTGCGAAGCACAGAAGGCTTGTCATCCAAAAAAGCAACATTCTGTACTAATTCTGTACCAACTTATTCAACTTCATTGTTACATCCTATTGCTCAACTAATGGAAACTAATAAGTTTGATATCATCCTAATGGAAACTAATAGGATCCACCTATTTCTTCCGCTCAAAATGAAACGGATCAATTGTGAAAGCGAGTGATGTCAGTGTCCTGAGGTCTACGCAAGTCTGCGGAGGCCACCGTGGAATTCCTTCCACAGGCCTGCAGGCAGGAACGTAACAACGATGCAGGCAGCAAGCAGATTGAAAAATACAGCTGTTGGGGATACCACCGATGCTTATTTTATTTATTTTTATTTATTGATTTAAATCTATATTTAGATTTATATGATTTTATAATATTTTATATGTACGATCAAGGCTAAGCAGCTATGCCAGTCAGAATGATCAGAGTAGCTCACCTCAAAACCCAGCCCAAAAGCCCAAAAGCCAACGATTTCGCTGGGCTGCTCTGGGGAGTCCGGGGCCTCATGGATTGAAAAGGTTTGCACTCCACAGCTATCAGCAACCACCACATGGCCAGTGGTCGAGATGCTGAAGATGCCCATGATCTGGTGCCAATACAATGCCTCAGGGAGTGACTTGCAATCATGGCATGGGAAAATGATGAAATCATGATGAAAATGAGGGAAAGAGCGGTCACAATCTGCATCCCAGTCACAACGATGGGTGTGGAGCAGTGAAAGTGTTCAAGCAACAACGGCTCTTCAGCCTGACATGAACGGCGTGCCAGAGAGAGGACAACATTCTAACGCCCAAGGGGCATTGTGGCGTTGAAATTGCCACAGCAACTATCTGTGCCATTTTTGTGCATGAACACCTAGAAGTGACAAGTTATGACAAGTTGATAGCTGGGTTCCACCAACGGACCAAGTTCTGGCTCCATGGCCTGCAAGACAGGCTCCCCGTTCGCCAAACTCTTGATCCGTTGCCGCTCTTCCATCACCTGACACTAAGCTTGCCATCACTGAGAAATTGGATGTTGTTCAAGTGGACTCACCTATCAACCTGGTTAACCTATCACTGTTGCTGATCATTGTCTCAATGTTCCTTGCTTTCTAATGTGAAGATATTTTAAGGAGCCCATCACCCGGAAGGCGATGCCTCTTCCAGCGTCTTTTTTTTCTTCTTGTCGCCGGTCTCTGACACGAAATCATCTGGAAAGAAGCTGCGAAACACCGCCACTCTGCCACTTTCGAATCCACCGAGCACCTGAGACTTCCCCCTGGAGCCACGGCTTGTAAGTCCCAGCAATCCAATAGACCAGAGATCCAATAAATCACTAGCAGCTAGCACATCATCCCATCTTCATCGGTCAAATTTCACCTGAGAACAGCGCGGTTTCAACTGCCATACTGCCCTCGTCAGACAAGCGCTGTGTGGGCAAGCGGAGCGCTGTACAAACATCGCCAAGACCCCGCGAGGCATCAAATCCTCTGGGCGAAACAGTTGGAGCAAAGCATGCGAGCAGCTGACACAAACCTTATTGTGAAATAATGTGAACGGAAACAATATGATCGCTAATGTACATGACGTGATATGGTATGATATGATGTGAATGTGATATAATGTGATTGGAACATGTATTCAATTTGATATTCAATACAATAATAAATACATAGATTTATCTGATATTCAATCTGATATTCAATATACCATGTGATATAAATACATAGACACCCCGAGTTTTTCATGGTCCAATCACTTTCAACATGTACGTCGTGATGCCTTGAATCTGGTGCAGCTGCTTTCGTTTGGAGCCATGGGATCGGAAGAGGTAGTAGACCGCCAGTTGGCCATCACCAATACCTTCCCAAAAGGCTCACTTGGACATGACAGAAATCCTAAGTATTGGATGTTGGATGGATATAGGATGGATACATTCATTTTTATCTATGATAGTGTATATATATATATAATTATATATAGGCGATATTAGATGATACTAGATGGACCCCATAGGTGTGCAATGATGTGTTCCGGTCTCTGGTCACATGGGAATTCAGTCGCCTGCTGCGACCCGCGGACGCTTGGGATCCACCACCAGACTGGCCACCTCCGACCGCAGCCGTCGCAGCTCAAGGGGCTCCTGCGCCTGTGCCGAGGCACGCGCCAGCTTCTTGGCCTGTGCCGACTTGGTCACACCTCACGTGACGTGGCCCTGCCGGCAAAGGCTGGAAAGGACTGGAAAGGATTGGAAAGGCCACAAAATCATCAGGTAACCTCATGTCATGTGAGACTGGATTCCTGGATAGAAGTGGATGGTGGACAAAGATATGACAGAATACATAAGAGGATTCGAGAGGATCCAGGATACAACTGGAGCATTTTGAAGGTTGCTATCCAAGTTGCTGGTGAAATTGATGGGTTCGTCCACCTGCGGGTCCAAGTTGAGACTAACGCTGCCTGTGCCGCTGTGCCGCTTGCTTGTCACGCTGTTCCTCTTCCCACCCTTCGTCATCCTTGGGTCACACAAACTACAGGACGCACTGCCAGAGTCACTATCTGATCCAAGCATAGGAAGCTTCCCCTTTAAGACCCATCAAGACCGTAATAGACCATTGGAGAGGTTCTTGCAAGTTCCCAAGCAAAAATCAATGCCAAACCAGGTGTCTCCAGCAGCTTGTTGTTGTTGGTTTTGTCGGGCTCCAGCGGTTCAAGGCCTTCATCTTCATCCCACCCAGCACCTTTCTTCCGAGCAAAGGCCGCTTCAGCTTCAGCGGCCAAACGCTGCACCAGGCGACGCTTGGACTCCATCTCCTGGAGAGGCTATGGGAAACATATGAAAACATGAATAATGAAATCGTTGAACAAACATATTTCATCATGCCTCGATATGCCTCGATGGTCAGACTGCAGCGACCCCCGTAAGCGTCCGGAATGGAGCTTGACACCGACACCTATCACCAGCATGCAGAGCATTTACTGCCCGCCACTCCTCCATGGCACGTCGAGAGACCTGGTAGTCCAAGGGGTGGAGCACGGTTGTTCGTTGCCTGGCCAAAAAATCAGCGGCATCGCTTGGGTATGGCAAAAGCAATGCAACATGGTCTGTGCCCAAACCCTGGAAGACAAAACATCGATCAAAATGCCTCAAAGCAAGCAAGGCTTCAGTCCCGTTCCCTACAACTTACAACCCGCTTCCACGCAGCCAATCCGTTCCCTACAACTTACAACCCGCTTCCACGCAGCCAATCTGGAATAGCTTTGAACTACAATGTTCTCTCTGAAGCCGCATGATATTCCCAACTTTGAAACTCTGGTCGTCTCCACAGCCACCAATTGAGGAACATTCCTTGATTCTTGAACTCTTGAACCACAAGCCTATTGGGGTGGAGTGCAAACACTATACCCAAGGATCCAGATGGATCCAGTATTGCCAGTCAAATTTTATCAAAGCTGCACTGTGGTGATGAAGCGTTCCCGTTCAAGGTCCAAATGGGTATCCTGGCAGCAAGGTCGCCATGGATAGTAACAGGTAGCACATGGTACGCGTGGGGATCTAGGAACTGTATTGAAGCACTCTGTTTATTCTTTTTCGTTGGCATATATTGGCATTCTAACATCAGGGTCAGCAGAGCTTTCTTCGTTACGCCTTCTTTTGTATTTTTTGCGATCCATGCCAGTCAAATAAATCAGTCTTGTAACACGTCGCAAGCATAAGAGCTAGCAGTAACATGCAGTAACTAGCATTCAAAACGAGTTGCACCAGCGTGTCCCCAGCATTTCATCCTTTAAAAGGGCCAACTTCTGGCTGTCAGATGATGTCAGATGGCCCTGATGACATCTGATGACCGTGATGGGACCGTGATGGCCTGAACCTCACAGGATTCTCGCTCTTTGCGCATCACTTCGTTTCTGCGATGGATCTCCCCGCGAGTGGTGCGAGAGCCTTCGTCACCTGCGCCAGCACGCCAGCAACATCCAGCAACCACCCCGTGGCTCGCGACCGAGCAGCTTAGTAGCCGAGGGTGAAAATGGATGAAACGAACACAAATATCGCAAACAATCCCAGAAGCAAAGCAGCGCTTCGTCATCTGTTGTGAAAATCAATTGCCCAAGCTGCTGCTGCTGGCATGGACGATGGAGGTAGAGGATGAAGACCGATTTTATTCACAATCAGCGTGCTGTGAGTACTACATAGTACTGACCCTCCGATAAAGTTCACGTATGTGCACGTGCTTGGGAACACTCCGCGCTTACTAGTCGACTTGGGCATTGTTAGGTCCATGGCAATCAGAATCACAAATCTGGGACTTGAGCTAACTCCCATCCTTGCTTTCAAGGCGCTTCTTCCATCCACCGTTCCACTGGAGTTCAACTCCTTCCGTCTGTTTGCCTGGCCAGGCTGAGAGATTCTGAAAGTCACTAGCACTGGCTTTGGTGGCCTTAGCATGCCTTAGCGTTCCAGCTGATCAGGGCTGCCGGGCTGTGCATCTAAGATACCTCTAAGGTGGCTATGCAGTGTGATGGGGCAGAATTTCACACAGTTAAGCCACTGCAGCACTCTCTGGATTTCACGCGCAGGATCGGGCAGAGCTTTTCAATGTTTTTCACATTCCAGCGAGTTTGATGTCTTGCTCAACCCTTTCTTGCAGAAACAGGCGGGATTGCATGTGTCGATATTTGTCGCCTTCTGATGGCGCGCATGCGTCATTCACAAAATATCGGAATCATTCAGAATCCACCTGCAATTTCCCAGCCTGCTTTGTCCATTTCAAATTCAACGTTGTTTTCTTTTTGTCCTCAACAGCACGCAACCAACATCCCAGCGACTAACAAAAATGGGGTAGCCCCCTGTCACATAACCCAGCAGTCCATCAAAATGGGGATCACTATGATCACTCTTGGAAGGCTTATCCAAAACTTAACATAACTTAAATCGTTAGATTAAATATTGACTAAATCAGATTCAGAACCGGAAGCAGGTTGCTTCATCTCCCAATTTGTCTGTCACTGGGACCGGGACCACAGTTCCCTCTGAATCCCACTCCTGCGCCAAGCTGTGACTGGAGCCCGTGACCGAGGAGCCACGGGCCAAGCCGCCCACCGCCGCCAGCTCAGCGACCTGCTTCCAAACCTGTGCCCGATGAAGCCCGGTGGAGATGAAGGGGAAAACAGAAAATACACATGGAAAAACAGATCCAACTGTCCAAACCTCTGTTGACTGGTGGGTCCAAAATAGCTGCTACTGTAAATGGAGGCGCTATATATATACATCTCAAAGTGTCATATGAAACAGATACTGTCTCGCGCTCCCGCAGCTTTCTTTTTCCACAGCTATGCCTATGCTCAGTCAATTTCACCTGCAATCCTCAGGTTTGCTTTGGGTTGTCACGATGTGACACGTACATAGCCCCAGACCAGCTTCGCCACTGGTCAGCTGCCTGGCAACCCAGGCTGGAACCTGCTCTGCAGGAATCACCCATCCCTTAACCTAAGGGAGGGAAAGTCTCTTTTGGTCGCCCCAAGAGAGGATCCCCGATAGAGGCTATGTACTCGCCTGCCGTGCAGGCTCCCCTAACCTAGGCGGACATCTCCACGGGAGGTCGGCCCTTAGGGTTGGGAGGGTGGGGAAAGAAAACAGCAATGAATGCTATTTTGGTTCAAGTTTACTTGAGCCAAAATGGTAGCATTCATTGAAACACTTAAAGATGATACATGCACACCCAAGCCTGCCAAACTCAATGCATGGGTACATCTCAAAGTGTCATATGAAACAGATACTGTCTCGCGCTCCCGCAGCTTTCTTTTTCCACAGCTATGCCTATGCTCAGTCAATTTCACCTGCAATCCTCAGGTTTGCTTTGGGTTGTCACGATGTGACACGTACATAGCCCCAGACCAGTTTCGCCACTGGTCAGCTGCCTGGCAACCCAGGCTGGAACCTGCTCTGCAGGAATCACCCAATGCACTCAATTCCCAAAGCACTAAAGGTATTCGAAGGTGAGAATGACAGCTGCAAAGGGTAGCTGGAACAAGATTGTAGGGAGGTACGACGAATAAAATTCAAAACCATGGCATCGCCACCATGGATCATTGACGCCAAGTCGGCTGATATCGTCAGCCCAGTTGCTCTTGCTCTGGACGTACTCCCAATATCCTTGGGCTCGCAGTGCAAACAGAGCTAGATGGATCAAATGACCTAGCTTCGCTAAGTCGGCATTGCTAGAACGTCCTCTCACTAGCGTCATGACGGCTGCTACGTTGTCCAAAAACCATAGGCCGTGTCGGTTTCGAAACAGATCAGGCCTTTCGACAAGGGCGTAGAGCACCATAGATAGTTCCAATTGGGCGATATGCGTCTCTGCAGGTTGCCAAAGTGTTCGGAGCTCTGCACAGTTGGTCGCGACAAAACTGTGACGAATTTGTGATCCGTCAGGCTGGAAAAAGATCAGGTGAAAACCTCCTGAACCAGGATTGTCTGCTTCGACAGCTGCGTCGGAGGCTGCCAAAAATCGCAGATGATCCAGGTGCAGAACGGGAAATTCCCGCTTTGGCTGAAAGCGCATAACCGCTTCGATCACCTCGAAGCATGCTTCAATCTCGGGAGTGATGGTCGAGGTTGTCTCGTCTTGCCTGGCTTTGATGGCCATGAGGCCGCCATATCCCACTCGACCGTAGATGCCCTGTTCCAGGAAATTGGCCAAGCCGTACAGCTTCGATGCTGCCCCTCGGCTGAAATGGCCAGTCACCCTGGCTGTTGCCAACATGTCACGTACTTTGTCATGGAGCCGTTCTCGAGCCCAAAACTGTACGTGCCCTGTTTGGTTGATGGAGCTGAGATCATGAGTCAATCCCAAAAAGGTACCGGTGCTCTGCATTGGTTGTTTCTTGTCCTCTGCGAAGGGGGAGCCGATAAGAGAACACAATTGATTCATGGCCCATTGGCCTGACCCTTTTGAGGATTGCAAGTCTGTGATGGTCGCATCATCAAAGTACAGGGATGTCAAAAATCGGCAAAAACGCCTGGCTAGTGCCTCCAATAGTCTGGAAAAACGGTTGAATGATGTAACCGCCAGCGGCAGTCCGAAGAGTAGCCCAGCGTAGACTTGGTATGCAGGGGTTTGCCATTCGTGATGGTACCACACCACCACGCAGCCCAGACTTTCCTGCAATGCCATAGGGCAATACCTGTATGCTGAAGGCAGATCTTCTTGTCCTGTTTCCCAGGCATCGTTCTCGAAGAAATCGGCCATCTCATCCTCTGTCCAACGATGCATTGCAAGGCGAATGTGCTGGGCAGGACGCAATGGACTGCACAATGTGAGCTTGTTAGCATCAGACGACAAGGCTGATTGTCCTCCGGTGCCCCCATTGTCGATCACACGCTGCTTGCCTGAGCTCTGTGTGATCACGCAACGCGGGATCAATCGATGGGCCTTGTCGCCAATGGCCCGCAGGAAATCTGTCCGTCGCAAGGGCTCTGTGCAGAAACCATTCGCTGCGTCCTCCAATGACTGCTGCGGGAGGAACTCATCATCCTTGCCTGCTCTCAGCTGGCCCAAGATGTGCTGATTGTGTTCCTGCCATCCCTCCAACACATCTGCCATGCTGATCACCTCAGCTGGCTGTTGGGGGAATATCCCATAAGGTGGTGCGTAGCCCACTGCAGGCAGCCCACGGATCAGCCCATAGGGAAAGCTGGTGTCTGCCCAGGATGTCACCAGCATCAGCAATGCGATGAGCCCCACATCGCGGTGCCGTGTTACCTGCTGGACGGCCGGCTCCTGGAAGGATCGCAAGTGGAGGGTCACCCCCTCCCAGCGTCTCTTCAGCTCTCGCATGGCCCCGACTGCCTGCTGTCGCCACGGGCGCAACTGCTGGCCATGTGCCACATAGGCATCTGCTACGAACTCCAGGTCTAAGTCGACGACTGGGAGGTCTTCGTAGGGCAACGGGTGCTGGGCTCGTTGGACTGCTTGGTTGAAGTGGTCCTCAGGATCCAAGTTGAACGGCAGCAGTGGGGGCAAAGCGGCACGGTGTGTCATCGCACCCACTTGGCACCCGTCCCCAATCCGTGCAAGCTGCCTCACTGACCCGGCAGCCAGATGCGGGACTAGGGGCCCGTCCCAAGCTTCTCCTCGCTCTGCAAGCCAGGTGGCATATGAGCAGAAGGGCGGGCTGTTGATGAGGTCTTCAATCATTGCAAACTTGTAGTTTTTAAACCAGTGCTCGGGGAAAAGCTTTTGGAATGCCAATACCAGTGCTTCTTGGCTCATCATGGGTAGGGCTACCCCCCTGGGGATAGCCTGGATCCCTTGCAACAATGCCACAGTCCTACTCCATCGGCCATCGGTGCCCCGCTGCATTGGGTCACCCCCAGGGGCGGTGGCATCGAAAAAGAGGCCAATGAGCATGTCCGCTTCGCACAGGTGCTCCATGGGGCAGTCGCAAGCCAGCTCCATATTGCTAAGCTCATGCAAGGCGTCCCACAAAGGTGATGTTCGAATATGGACAATGTACCTAGCCGGCCATTCACCGGCTTCGCAGTTGTGGCCCGGTGTCCATGGCGATTTCCACTTGGTCGTCGATAGGCGATGATGAAAGCTGCCTCGGCCGACGTAGATGGTCTTGCGTGGGAGCTTGTTGTTCTCGATCATCACCTCCTTGACGAGCCTTCGGACCGGTAACCCCGATCGTTCAGCCCGCAAGGGTTCTGTGAGGCCCAGCGTCACCGCCAGTGGTGCCATTGCCCACTCCCGCATTGCACGCGGGTCCATATCCAGCCAATGTTCACGGCGTCCGACTGACATGAACGTGGGCATGCGTGGGACATGCAGGACGGCTAGACCTGTGCGGACTGCCCACCAACTAGCCGACACTGCAATGGCAAAGGCAAGGACTGCTGTGTACTCTGCCTCTTCTTTGGATGGGTAAAACCGCTGGCCGTCGGAGGTGTAGGGGGTCCATTCCTGTGGGTCGTGCACATGGTGGCAATTGGCTGGGGGCCAGCGTTGGATCTCCTCCACATTGTGTCGTAGCACTTGATGCTTGCAACGCGCCCCACCCAAAGTACATGCCGCGTAGGCTGTGTCGAACCATTGTCCCGATTCCCACATAGTCACCTCTGTGGACGTCCACCAGTGCAAGGAACGGGCAGGGTTTTCACGCACACTGCCTCCCCCCCTATCCCGCAACTTCTGAATTTCTCCCAAGACATAGTTGCAGGCTTTGTTGTCAAGGTCGACTCTTTGGGCATCCCGGCTGTTGATGTGAGGCAGGCCATCAGGGTAGACCTCGGATCGAAGAGGACCAGGGGCTGGCCGCCCGTCTTCAAACTTCCTGGGGATCTCCCTGGCCCTGCTCTTTGTCGAACAGTCGATAGCTGCCGCTATGAAGATCACCTCTTCAAGCTGTTTGCTCAGGGATCGTTGCCGGCGCTCATCTGACAGGTCATGGCTGTCATCCAACAACCAATCCACTGTAATGCATTGCCACCCGCAACTGATGAATGCTTTGGTGAGGGGTGCGTTGGGACCTGCCATGAGATCTGCCATAAGAGGTCGCCCCTCTTGCGGCTCTAGCTCATCTGACCCAAAAGAGGCAGCCGCCTCCTCTTCTGGGGCGTGTCAACGCTTACCAGTGCAATTGGCTGCACCGTGGTTGAACGCTCCACATACCCGATCTTTCCTGACAACTGCTCCGCATCGATGGGCTCCCTGAGGACATGGTTTGGCCTTGCAGCCGCCTCGTTGAAATTGCGGGCAAAGTTTGGTACCATCCTTCATTGCCGTCGCCACGGGTTTGCCATTGATCGGCTTGCCCAACTTCAAGGGTGATGTGCTTGGCGGCACCTTAGATGGACTTGCAGTAGAGGCTGCGGTGGGGGCTGCACTCTTCCTGTCCGGGGTAGCAGGCCCTGGTGCAGACCAATGTGCGTCCCTGGACGTGTAGATCTCGCTGATCACCTGTCCCAAGCTCATCGTAGACTCACGAAATTTGGACACCCACTCACTGCGTTCCTCCACGTCTTTGGCCTGGAGCCATTGCATGCGCTGTGATGCAGGCAAACTTGCAACACTGCGCTTGGCTCTGAAGTAGTACTTGTAGACGATGTCCATGGGGACGTTGACAAAC